GCAGAATTAGGCAATTAGCCTGGGTGAAAAAGACTTTAAAGTTACCTGGGAGCAACTTGTCATTTATATATGAAAAAAAAAATCTAATTCTGCTGTTTTTAGCTTATAGGTGAATTTGATGCTGGTCCTCCCTCTTTAACTAAATGCAATCATTTTACTGTTAAATAGGAATTACATGATCAGTTTACTTTCAAAAAAAATTGGTATGAGTGTTATTTTACTAAATTATCATTTGGCCTGAGTCTTGGTAGTCTCTTCATCAACTTGCTGTTTCCTCCTTTCTTGTTATTGTCTATACTGTTTGCACTTGTAGATTTTGTAAGAGCCATAATGGTTAATATTGTGCTAACATGTAGCTGGGATGCATTCATAATTTCTTTCCCGGAGGCTAACTTGAAATTTCCGTGCAGCGTAAAAGATAGAGAGCATGTTATAGAACAAGAAACTGTCTTGAGACAGCTTGAGGCGACATTGTCAATTCACGAGCATGCACGACAGGGCCGCCATTTGGATGCATTACGAGAGATTGCGAAACTTCCATTCCTTCCACTGGATCCACGTGCACCAGGGTTAAGCATGGATTCATTCCAGAATTTATCCCCTTATGTCCAGGCTTGTGTCCCTGACCTTCTAAGAGTTGCCTTAAGCTGTCTGGACAATGTGACAGATACTGATGGATCTCTTCGTGCTTTAAGAACAAAGGTAATTACAGGCAGCCTGGTTTCTTCCCTGAGCATAAACATTCAGCTATTGGTTGTGTCATCACATGCAAATGTCACATTCAGTTATTATCAAACTTCATGCTTTAGCTTGTTTAGTTGCAAATTAGCTAATTCTGATCATATGGATGTGTGGTAATAGAGAGAAGTGGGTGATTGGCTTTCTTGATGGACAAAATGCTCTAATATTCCTGAATTTTCTGATTATCTTGATTGGTTTTATACAGATCATCACACTCCTCTTTACTAGTTTCGTGTCTGTCTTTGTGCTTTCTTGTTTTTTTTTTTTTTTTTTTTTTTTTAAATTTTTAATTTTCATAAATAATTCTGACACACGCTAGTGAGAAGTAGTAAGTGCTCATTCATTGAAAGTTTGATGAACTTGCTTGTCTGATGTGAGTTTTTACTTTCACAGGTTGCAAATTTTCTTGCGAACAACCTGCATCGAAATTGGCCTCGTGATTTATTTGAGAAGGTTGCAAGAAGCCTTTGAAATCAAGCACAAGGGAAAGGTTGGCAGCTTGGACAGCGCTGCCAAGCTTACTGTCAAGTGCTGGTGTCAAGGGCTTATCATTCCTCTTGCACATTTTGTACATTTATGAAACTAGAACTTCCTATTTCTCTCTTTTTACCGATATATAGTATATTTCTTGCAGCTAGATCAAATTAGGCTGTGTGTTTTTGGTATGATTTACCATGTTGGTCCTGCCTTTAATTACTTTTCATGTAGACAGAAGTATTAGTGACAACTAGAAGAATTTTCAGCTGTGTTCTCCAATAGTATAATTTGTCATATGGCTAAAATTATCATTCCAGAGTCCGGAGCAAACTCTTATTTCTATTTTACATACACTTGCCACTTTGCTCTTGCACTTCAAGAATGCCATTTCAGGCTAATTTGAATGGTTTTAACCCTGCTATGTGAATGTGTATGTGTGGATGCACCGTTTCATAGACCGTCTAAAGTGTATCCGAGTTTGGATTTCTGTCATTGAATGATATTATAACCTTTGTTCATGTCATGAGTACTCGGTCATGACAGGTTTAAATTTCTGTTAAAATTAGGTTATTTATAGCATTATTAGATGGAAATCTGGAATTAATCATGAATTTTTAAGTATTGATGTTCAACCTTCACTGTCACATTCTAAAAGAAGAAAAAAAGAGGAACAGGGGAGGGGAAGTTGAACTGCTGCAAAAGAATTGTCGTCCACAATTTTCAATTGATGAATTTATCATTTTTGCTATGGATGAAAACGAAGGTCAATATTGATGAATTTATTACTTTTGCTGTATTAGCGTGGGCTGCTTGGGCCTTTAGAAACTCTGTTGTGTTCGATAATCCTTGGAGTAATTGTGTGGAGTGGGGGTATGGGATTTGTGAGATTGGTGGAGGACTATAAGTACAGGGAGTCTACTAGTGGAGGTGGGTTTAGACAGGGGCATCCTCGAGGAGTAGCTGGCGATTGGGGTGAACTCTGATGCGACAATGTTGGCTAATAATAAGGTGGGACTTGGTGCTGTTTTGAGATATGATGAAGGGAAGCTGTGTGCTGTAGCTATTCGCAGAGAAGCTGGGATTGATTCGGTAAAGACAGTAGAAGCAATGGCTGCAAGGTCAACATCTCTTTGGATACCGATGTGTGGAGCTTGAATGTGACTCGGTTGCTGTGGTTAAATTGTTTAACACATCCGTGAAGGGAGGTCTCCCCTTGATTTAGTTATTGACGACATCCAGAATGAAGGCAAAAGCTTTGAGTCTTTTTCTTGTGCCCATATTAGAAGAAATGGGAATGCAGTAACTCATCTTAGTGCTAAGCTTGAACCATGTAATGAAATTGAACAAGTCTTTTTGGGGCGGAGATTGATACTCTGTAATTTGTGAGTGTTGAATAAAATGCTGCTGCCTGTTTCTTCTCTTAAAAAAAAAAATAAAAAAAAAAAAATAAACAAAAATAATAATAATAATAATTGCTAGAAATTTATGCTGAGTTATACATCAATTAATTTAATCCAAGGCCCTCTATTTTTACCCCGAGGGACTATCTTTTTAACTTGTATTTAATTAGTTTGGCCAACATTTGGGATTCAGTACCCAAACGGTGAAAAATTATAAAAATTAGAGTACCAAAACGGTGAAAAAAGTGAGAAATTAGGACCTAATTGTGTGGTTAACTCCTTAACTAACTAAATAAAACAAATTAATTTAAAAATAAACAAAACCCACCACCACCAGCCACCTTCCCCGCCCTCTGCCCCCGCCCCTCCCCTCCCCTCCCTCCCCTCCCACTGTGCCTGAACCCCCCATCTCTTGCACCAATGACGGCACTCCCTCTACCCACTGCGCCACCCCTAAACCACCATTAACTCCATCTTGTAACCCCCCTTCCCCAAAAAACCCCTAAAAAAACTCTTCTCCCGCCGCAAAAGCCCTCAACTACCCCTCCCCACCTTTGAAACCCTAGCCCAATAAATTTCTATTGAATTGTGTTAACTCCTTAATAGCATAACTTTTACTTTTTAATAATTTCAGTTTTCAGTTGTGAGAAATTAATAATTCTATTCAGTAACTCTATAAATCACATGGGTTTGTGGTCATCTTATGATCTTGTTATTAGGGGGGTCCCACTAAGTAATTTTATTTGAAACCAAAAGAGAGATCATTTCCATGAATTTCATTCTTGGAGTTCATATCCATAGGTAACATATGAGCAGGGGCGAAGAAGCCAGGATTTGAAAGCTATAGGGCCGACTAACACTTTAATTGTAAGAAAAAAAAAATCATTGAATCAACTTACCAAAAAAGGAAATGTGTTAATTAAAAGAAAAAACTTTCTAAAAAAGAATATGTGTCAATTAATAAAAAAACGGAGGTAAGTATATATTTGTTAGAAAATTTTCTATGAGATATCCTACATTCCTTCATATCACAATTATCAAAATAACAACATACATATCAATTTTGATGATAATATACAAACACTTCCTATGTTCTCCTTGCATATATGCCTAGTTTTATTAAGACAAGCTTCATAATATATTTCATTAACCATCAATATATCTAGTTAAGTACAACTAAATGTATAACAAGTATATTATTTATTCTAAAATTTTATAGGGGCCATACAAGCCCGGGCACCACCCCCTACAAATTACTGGGTACAATAGGGATCCCAAAAACACCATCCTGACATGCACTATGATTCTCTCGATCCCAGGCACCATAAAAAAACATAACAATATCACAGGTCGCTTGAAGACTACCTCGAAAACTTGACCCACAGAAGGTCAAGAGAACCCAGGGGGAATACCATCAGAACAATCTGATAATTCACTGGCCTTTCTACTTCTGTCACACCAATCAGAGGCAAGCTCCAAAACAGACCTAGGAGAATAGACTGCCGATCGAAACCTCACTTTATTCCGGATTAGCCAGATAGCCCAACAGATCCCGAAGAAGCGATCTAACGCAGACCGAGAACCAGTCATGAAAAGGAAGAAGAACGTCAGGCATGGGAGGCGAATCCCACATACGACGGGAGAAAGAACAATCCCGAAATAAGTGTTCCACCAACTCAAAGGAAACATGACACAACACACAAACCGAATCAATGGGAATGCCCTTATGCACCAATAACTCCGCCGTAGGAAGAGCATTATGTAATACTTTCCAAGCTAGCATTTTCCATTTTGGAAGCACAGGTAAACCCCATAACCTTTTCCACCATGAAGGCAAAATTGAAGTGCAAGGCGGGGGAAGAAACTAAGAAAGTAAATTGGTGTAGGCAAATTTGGTAGAGAAGGATCCATCTCGGGTATATTTTCAGTAAACAAAGTTGTCAATCTTCTGTAACGAACGTTCCAAACCAAGAATTGCCGAAGCTACAGAATTAGGGAAAAGTTGCCTAACCAGAGACGCATCCCAAGCACCGGTAACAAATCAGAAACCACCGAAGGACAATCCTGTTTAGGAATACAGTCGTCCTTAAAAATAATTCGAACATTAGGCACCTAGTAGTTCTGCAGAATGCTAACATTACTTACATTTGTTGTGGATTTGTATGGGCAACTAAAGTCCTTTAGTGGCTCATTTGTTGACAATATAGTGAGAAAGAGGAAGCAAAATAGTGAGAGAAAGAGAGAAACTATGAGCAGTCTTAAAAATTACATCGGATTGAATCTCAAATTTGTGTTTTTTTTTAACACTATATACAGATGAGATATGAAAGAGTATAACACTATATACAGAGTAAATTAAGATATTATCACGTGCTTTAAGATGAAACCTATTTAGAATTAATATTGGAAAAAAAAAATTATATAGTTCAGCTATAGTTTTGGGATTATAATTAATTACCAAATTGCCACTTTGATTTGCAAATGCAAGAAACTAGAATCTCCTCCAAAAAAAAAAGGTGCAAACTTGAATATTTCCTTCGTCAGTTTCACTAAACAGACTAATACAGCAACTCTACCAAACGCCATTTCAACAAGTAAGTATTTCTCCCATCTATTTTTTCCGATATTTGATATTTAGATTTCCCTTATTTAATTTAACCTTTTCTGATTTGGTGAACTGGGTTTTTGTCATTTATTTCATTTAATTTGCATTAAATTTGCTTAATATCTTTAATGATCCCAGAATATTGAAACATTTGGATTTCTGGGTTTGAATCGTTTTGTTTAATCTTTGTTTATCGTCAAGCAATTAGTTGCTACTTGCTAGACTAGAATTTATTGTTGTATGCTTTCTGAAAAAGTCGTGGCACTAAAATTATGGCCTTGCAAATTTGAAATTAAATTTCCCCTAAATTTTGGATTGGGGTTAATTTGGTTCTAATTATAGTGGAATTGTAAGATATCTGTAATTAATTATCATTGAGGGTACTAAATCTTGGGGATTTGGTGTTTGGAAATTACACTTTCCCTTATGGGTTAGGCCAAAAGAATAAAAGATCAAAATTTCTCACATAAATATTTACTTTTAGCTTGATCATGATCTTATTGTCAAAAACCTAATATTCCTAGCCCCTTATCCCAGATTAATACCATTTCCAACTTTTAGTTGAGTTGGGTGTGGAAACTTGAACCTAGATGATATAGATGTTCAATGTACTTGTAGTTGTAGGACTTGTAGCCTTGTAGGCGAGGGCCAATATGAGATTTTCGAAATTGGGAGTCAATGACAATTTTCATGTTGAAAGGTCAAAGGAAGGTCTTGTTTAGAATGGAGTGCATAAATTAGAGAGTGATGGCGTCCAAGATAACCCAATTGAATCATTGGTTGATGTAGTGGTGGTTAGAGGTGGAAGGAGGGATGTGGAATCATTATCCTCATTTCAGGGTTGATACAAGGGGAGGGAAAGACCGAAAGAGGGGGGGCGGGGGAGGAGGGGGTTGGTGGTGAACTATTACCTACATTTGGAAGGTAATAATTTCCCAACACTTTCTCCTCCCTCAACCTGCATCTCTACTTTGTTTCCTTCTCTTTATTATATTTCCTTTTAACCTTATTCATTGCTTCCATCTTCTAATTGCCCTAAGAGACAAAGGAAAAATGGATATCTTTCAACTTTCTTATGTTAATCCTATCAGTGTAAAACAAAGTCAGCTACTTGGATAATGGGTGGCAATTTTTAATGCATATTTGAACTTTCTTAAGAGGTGATATGCGGATCACGATCCAGGAAGGGAAGATATACCTATCCTTAAGATAAAAGTAATTTACAACAACTCTCCTTTTAAATTAGCATCCATATCCAACTCTAAAGTTGTAGACCAACTTCCGTCTTTTTATTGATTACCCTCCCTCTCATTATTACTCCGTGTCCAATATGAATCAATATCAATCCGCTTTTACAAATTATTGATTTCCTAAATTCCCTTTGGCTTTGTGCTATGGTCTCTGGGCTGATTCACAGATACAATGAAAACGTTACTACCTTAAATGGTAGTCTCAAAGAGGTTCTCAGGATAAAAGGCTCAATTGAGATTAGACTCACCGTTGGAGGGAATCCAAATCATGTTCCATGTTTGAGGTTTTCACAACTTTGATTGACATAGTCTCCATATAAATTGAGCTTTAAGAGGACATAGGAAATGGAGGGATGTTTAGTCCCTCCATCTCCCCCCCAAGTGGTTGGGGGTTCGATCTACATCTTCCCTTTCCTGTGATAGTGTGGGGGACCCCGTATCTTACCGTATAAAAAATAAATAAATAAAAGATTAAAAATAAAATAAAATAAAGTGAGCCTTGAACAATGATATTCTATTCTAATACAGTAATACTCTATTATTTTGTTATTATTCTGCTATTTTTACGGGGGTTCATAATTTGAAGATCAATTTCCAAATATATAGACTTTATGTAGTGGCATATTGCCTATTTTGCTGAGACTCAACCATTGAGGTTGTTCAGATGATGATGTTAAGGATATGGAATTATGTAGAGTGTCACGGAGGATTGAAGACTGATAAAAAATAAAATAAAACAAAATAGAGAGTGAAAAGAGTGGAGATAGTTTCTGTTACTCGACACCGTTTTTTTTTTTTTTTTTTTTTAAAAAAAATTTCATTTTTGGGTTGGCCTTTGAGTTTAGCTGAGCTTCTGCAGTCCCTATCTTCAAACTTTGTCCATGCTTAGAGTTGCTTTCACTTTTGTGATCATACACGTAATAATTTTGTGATCATGCTTAGAGTTGCACTTTGCCATAATATGCTAATTATGACATAAAATCATGTGATAAATAGCCTCAGAAAATCTATGCTTCAGTTAGTGTTTTTATGATGTTCACAATTTCTCCGAATAGTTCCAACACAATAAAGTCTCAACTTAAGCCCTTTTCCTATCATCAAAGGTTGACATGGGGGAACTGATCAATTTACTTGTGCCAATTGGTCATTGCAGATTGCTCTATTATTAACGAAGGAAGATAATGGACTTGTCAACATCCCAAAAACTCACTCTGGGCTATGCTGCCCTAGTTGGAGTAGGCGGGGTTATGGGTTATATGAAGAGAGGTAGCCTTATGTCCCTTGGTGCTGGTGGAGCATCATCTGCTTTACTGTACTATGTTTACACAGAACTCCCAAATAATCCAGCTTTTGCCTCATCACTTGGGCTTGGGGTCTCTACAATGTTGCTTGGATCAATGGGTTATCGTTTTCAGAAAACGAGGAAGGTATTTCCTGCTGGAGTTGTTGCTCTTCTTTCACTTGGAATGACTGGTGGTTACCTACATGGAATCATTCGAAGTCAAAACTAGACGGTGATAGGGCACCTGGAAGCATCATGGTATTGTCTAGGCTGAAACTTTAGTGAACAATTTGTTGTCTGGTACTGTTGTTGTCTGATAATGTTTGTTGGAGTTGAGAAAGGTGAGGTATTAGTATGAATTATGAATTGTTGTTTAAGTTCATGTTTGTCTGAACATGAATAACAATTTTATACTCCGTTAATCACAGTGAAGCCATTTTATAGCACAAACTAGTCAATTTCATGGTTGGCACTTGGCAGTACTCTTAACTTCAATACATGGCCAACATGGGAGACTGGAAGATCTTAGCAGGAAGCATCTGCCCTAGTAGAATTGTACTTTACTAAAAATGATAGCTTAATAGCTAAATGTTAATTTGTGTGAGACAGGAAAAACAGCCCTTTGCGATCTGTAAATTGATAGATCTATATATACCAATATCTGTGTCAAGTTTTGCTAAGCTATCGATCAGCCTAGCAAGATTCCTGAGAGCTTGAACAAGCACGAATAGACTAACTGCGTGGACTGGCATGGGTTAGCTCACTTGTATAGTTAAGCTGTTTAATCGTTTTTATCTTCTTTACTGTTTTTAATTACTTTGAAGTTATTTTTCTGCATGATTTGACTTTCCGGTTTTAACTAACTACAGGAGAACCAACATTGATACTTGCTTCAACATATTTTCCTTCGAGCCAGACCCCATTGATATCCTACGTTGATATAGTGGCATTTCCGCAATTATTAGACTTACTTTTAGTAAAATATAGTATTTGTACTACTAAGGCTGACTAGGAATAGGATACCGTTTTATCTCCTTTTATGAGCCCGTTTTGAAAAAAACCCCTTTTAGAGAGAGAAACCACAATACAGAGAGAAGTTACATTAGAACAACATCAATGGCGCAATTCCAGGTCGATCTTGCTCCAAATCGATTCATCTGAGCTGAATTTATGCACGTGGTTCCTTGAATTTTAGGTATGGTGTTCAAGGCTACCCAAACAGTAGTACACAAACTGGAATTTTGCAACTCCCGATCCGAAAGAAATGAAGAGTCGAAACCACCAATTGCCATGGCTCCATGCTTGAAATTTCTAGTAACTTGCTGTCCCCTATCTCATTCACCCTCTTTCACCTTTCCGGCGACAAATTTCCGACGGCTTCGCCGTGGAATTAAACGAAAACCCTAGAAAAATAAGAGAAATTGGGGCATGGTTAACCCTTAGAGGCAAGGTTTGCTTCCTTCTCCATTGAAGTTGTTCATGCTTTTCGATTTCGCCATTTTCATGTACTATGTGAGCTTGCTTTTTTGTTTCTCTCTCATGACAAAGATGAAGACAATCTAAGGTTTGGAAGAAGGTAAAGACCCCACATCTATCAAAAACCGTAAGCATATAACGGGTTTCAAGGGGTTTTCTTTTCTGTTCCAATTTTGGCCTTCGTTTAATGAGTGAAATGACAACGCCGCCCCTATATCAACGCTCCTCGTTGATATAGGATATCAATTTGGATTTCCTCATTTTCCTTCATCTTGTATTTACATGACTAGGTTTCTCCAAATTTAAAATCGAAAAATAGTTAATACACGCCCCATGCAGAGTGAAGATCCCATGAAAGTCTCCACAAACTCATGATTTAAACATGCTGACTTGGTAAATTCTTAATTCTATACCATAAAAAGTCAGGTCTTGCTCAGCCTGTGGCGCGTCAATGCAGTTGCTTTAAACATAAACTAGTTTTGTGCCCGTGTGATGTCCGGGTTGTTTATTAAATTTTAAAATTAATTTTTAATTTATATGTCAAATTTTAAAACATATCGTTGATACAAATTAGTTAGGAAATTATGTGTTTTAATTTTGTGACAATTTAAACTATATAGTAGGCATGTAATGACTACAAATAATAATAATATTGGTGAAAATATTTCTTGACCTGTAACTTGAAATGATGACTCTATTCGAAATGACTCGTGATCCGAGCCGATTGATAGGTAGGTTTTCACACAGTAATAAAATTATATTAGATTTTGAAGTATTGTTATTTTAATTGATTAGAATATATTATAAATAATAGATGTGGTACATTTTGAACTAATTTCTTTGCTTCAAAAAAAATATTATGATACAAAAAATAAAATTATATGATAATTTATGAGAGTTATAATGTAATTATTTTTTGAATAAAATTATAATTTAATTTGTAAATATTGGTACTTTATCGAAAATAAAACTCTAAATTAACAATTTTATCCTAAAATTATATCCAAATTTGATTGAAAATAGAATTCTTAACGAACTTTTTTATCCTACAAATTGAATTCTGTTTAACTCTATCATACGTGGCGCGACACTTGGAGAAAAGTTAGAATGCCAAATGTCGTTGTCTCGTCGCTTGGCTAAAAGTTTAGCTTTATATATTAGTTATATGATTATATAAATCTGTTAAGTAGAGCTTTGTATTCCATGTCATAGTATTGATAAAATGGTGGCTACTCAGCTAATGTAGTATTGTACTAATTACGTAGGTAGGTCATTCAGATCAATGAGCTACAAATTGCCAGGCGTATGAGACTCCTACGTAACTGTAGGTACCAGAAAGAATTGTTCATGCACAATTTACAAACTCTGAATCATGAAATTGATGGCAATGAGGAAACTGAAGTGCATATAGCACAAGACAGACGCCTGGAATACGCTGAACAGCAGTAGTAATCGAGTATCTAGTTATTTGCATTATTAAGAACGGGAAACAAAATTGATTAAGAAACCAAAGTTGTACAATAAGAATGATGCCATAACTTAGATTGCTTGATAGCCTGTACAGAAGTATTCTATGTATTACATAAATTACATTTCTATATGTGCAGTCTTATTAATTCTGATTGCCCGTGAACAATTTCTACCCATATGTTTTAAGGGAATGGTTTGCTCTTTTTTGGGCCAAAATAATGCTCAGGACACTGCTACACCCTGAAATCTGAATTACAACCATTAATATCATCACTACATAAAATTAACTACCTGCATCAAACATAGCATATCATTTACCTCACATTTCTTTGCAAAAATCAGCAGTCACTGCTTAATTTTGCGAAGCTCCCAGCTGCCCTCCCCATCAAGCAGTCGCAATTCCAATGCATGGAACGGAATCAAAGCAGGGCGCTGAAAGAAGAAAAAAGAAATAAGTACCAAAGTTTAAATGATTGGCAACTCACTCGTACATTCGCTAAAGGATGCACACAGTTAATTCACAGTTTAAGAGATTATTAGAAATTGGTTGTTTATAAGTTTCCGAAATCAAGGATACATAAAACTGATGCCATATCTTATTGGTGATAAGAGGGACTTGCGTCTCTCACACATAAAACTGATGCAAATGCTCCCATTATCATGGCGCTCTCATTCATTCCCCCATCACAATCAGGCCATATCCCTTCGATAATAAGAGGGGCTTGTGTTTTTCTCTCAAATATAACTGATGTAAATGCTACCCTCTTATAAATAGAATTCGAAGAATAAAAGTAGATAACAATGTATTATGAACTTCACAAAAATACATAGTACTCTCCTAATTTAAATCAAAGAAGCTATTTGTAATCAGCCTTTCAGCAGATAACTCAAGGCAGTTGCTGATCTGTATTTGACAGGCAGAGCAAAGTATTTGACAAATTTATTAATACTTGGAACTGAAACTTGCCCTAGCAACAACAAAGTATTTGACAAAATTTATTTCTCCTTAAAACCTGGTGCACAGTGTTTTATTAATACTTGGAACTGCAGTACTGATACAATAGAATGATAGATACTGGTAAAGTAGAAAAAAAACTTTAAATGTACATTAATACCAAGAAGGTATGGGAAGAAAAACCATATACCTGTGATGAAGTGACAACTGTAATGCCTTGATTAGCAGCAAGTGTATACAGGTGCTCCTCCACATCAACGCTAGTGGCACTGTCAGTCATAGGGTGAATTAGCCCACCAACAGTGTGGATGATAGATACAATGAGGTTTGAAAATAATTTTTCTAGTTCAAAGATGGGGATAGGGCAACATTTCATGGAAAACAAAAGGAGTTAATGCAGGATTACGTACTTGGTGCACTCATCAAGGATAGCAAATTTAGGCTTATGGAAGAATAAGCGTGCCTTCAGCCATTCACCGAACAAAAAAATGACAGATTAGACCAGTAGAATACAATATCCACAAGAGATAAAAAAACATAAAGCACTAATATTCTGACTTTCTGAGCAGTGTGCAAGAAAAACTTACCATCCCTAACCTCTGCTGCTCTCCAAGAGAGAGAACATCTTCCCAATTTAGAGTGGCACCCAGACCGCCTTCCCTTTCCAATAGATAAGTCAGCTTAACATTTTCTAGTATGACTTGTAACTGCTTATCCAATACATCTGAGGAGGTGCAAGTGTGATGACCTGAAATCAACATAAGAACGTTGCGTGAAGCATTCTAAAGCATGTTGCAGCACGTCAATCATCGAATGTGAGAATCATACACTACTAATTTGATTTATTAGAAGTTGTATAAGGTGCCTAATTCCAAGCGTTCAAACAGTTTCTGTTTTTCAAGTTTACAAAAAATAACAAATGATTACATTTTGAGTCAACATTTTTGAGGTTGAAGTGGACTAACAGCATAACTTTCCAATCTAGATCCTAAGGTACAGACAAGTCAAGGGATCACTTGAGGGGAGGGTTGCTTTCTAGCTCCACATCCCACCCACTCCCCACCAATGTATAAAAAAACTCAAGGAGCACCAAGGCATTACGGAATTCCCTGCGCCTAAAGTGTGCCTCAGTGCACCTTATTGAAGTGAGGCGCATATATAAAAAATAAAAAGTCTTATGAACAATGCGATGCACCTCGGGGGTGCGCCTGCGCCTCATCAAAATCGCTTTTCCTAGACTACAAAAGCTCCTAGACCCCTAATGCCCAGCGCCTAGGAACGCTTTTCAAACACACTGCTCCGTAACCCCAGCAAAAATAAAGGTGGGCCCACATTTAGATGTGAATAGTAGCATTCACTAACCTAGCCTGATAACCTGGCCAGTGGATACACAGGGATTCTTTTATTAATTTGCATGCTAAAAACCCCGGAAAAAAAAAAAGCATGGATAGCTTGCTACAGTCACAGAGGCCCTGCCCTTACAAGTCACAACTAGAGATACGGTAATGGGGAGCCAGCACTGATTCAGAGCAATAAATTTCCACACATATCATTAAA